ATTGGAGACGATTGTACCAAATGGGGCCCCATTCTGCAGTGACAGCCGACCGGAGAAGCCCCCGTTGGAAATTCTTACGCGTTATTTCATAAAGTGCCGTGGAACGTCGGGTTCTCGCGGTAGCAAGTGTGAAGATGCCTCTGTCTTCTGCGATGTTGCACCGTGTAGTCTGACTACGCCCAGGACAAGGGGCGGCCATATTTGAAAACATGCATTGATACCATAAGATTTCCAGGGATGCTTTCCAGGCTTGGCAGCGGCGCTGGGATCGTTGTGTTCACTCCCAGGGGAACTACTTCGAGGGTGATGGATGAATTTAATACCTGAGATAAGTGTACTGTTTTTTTTTTTTTATATAGGCGCAGTCTGGAAACTTTCCGATCGCACCTCGTACTGAGAAGTCGAACCTCACCGCCGTAAACTACAAATAAATATACGTAAGTTTTTCATACTTCCCTATATTGTGACAGCGTCTAGGGGGAGTGGAGGTAGAGATACACACGTACTTAATTTTGTTATCAAATTGTGAGCGATTACCTTCATGGTACAGTCGTGTCAACGAAGAACATTACTTAGTATCTGTAGGGGACTAAATTTGTTTGTGACTCGATGGTGAGTGGACACGTTCGGACCGTGTTCAGTGTCCTGGGTCTTAAAAGACTGTAATCCAGCGTCTGTTCCGGGTCTTGACCTGACCTAGGAAGCAGACTGCCGGATCGCACGTAGTAAATCTTTGAAACTACGGATGGACGGACAGACAGGGAGGCACGAGAACCAGAGGCGTTCTAATCATTTATTCATACAGATGTTCGGAGTATATTACTTTGCAGTTTCACAACGACGTAAACAGACATCACGGGAGGAACTCAGAGCAGACAGTCTCGCTGTTCAGCTGTGACGAGATGTGAGTTAAACACAAAGTAAGCAGTGGGACCGGGCATTAGCAAACAGTTCCCTGAAGATGGACGTCTTCTAGGATGTAGCGCCGTGTAGCCTGATACACGCTGATAGACGCTGATAATGGAGGCAGTGTCTCTAAACCGTTCGTAAACTACCAGACTACATGGCTCAAAATGCCATCTTCATATTCGTCGGCGTAAACACCTGTAATGTTAGCAATCAGTTTCGTGCTTGTCCTGAAGCATCAGAGCGCGTCTCTGGGACAGGCAGCCATGTTTTTGATTAAAAATGGTTCCGTCTTTCACAACAGAGCGAAATCCTTCTCAGCGTACGAAGTTATAACCACGGATCTTTATACATTTAATACAGTCTAGTGATTAAGTCGAGAAGAATGAGAGAGATAGGAGTTGAAGGAGACTGGGTTTTGTTGGCCCAGGACAGGGTCCGGTGGAGGGCTTTGGTTAATTCGGTGATGAACCTTCGGGTTCGGTAAGCCATCTGGTTGGTTGGGTCCACTATTTGGGAAGCCTGAGGGGAAGAGACCGCTGGGGAGACCTAGACGTAGATGGGAGGATAATCTCAGGCGGGATCTGTGGGAGATAGGAGTTGAAGGAGACTGGATTTTATTGGTCCAGGACAGGGCTTTGGTTAATTCGGTGATGAACCTTCGGGTTCGGTAAGCCATCTGGTTGGTTGGGTCCACTATTTGGGAAGCCTGAGGGGAAGAGACCGCTGGGGAGACCTAGACGTAGATGGGAGGATAATTTTAAGCGGGATCTATGGGAGACAGGAGTTGAAGGAGACTGGATTTTGTTGGCCCAGGACAGGGTCCGGTGGAGGGCTTTGGTTAATTCGGTGATGAACCTTCGTGTTCGGTAAGCCATCTGGTTGGTTGGGTCCACTATTTGGGAAGCCTGAGGGGAAGAGACCGCTGGGGAGACCTAGACGTAGATGGGAGAATAATCTCAGGCGGGATCTATGGGAGACAGGAGTCGAAGGAGACTGTCTGGGAAATTTTAGCAGAAAACCGAAAGGAATTGTCAGGGTTTTCGTAGAATGCGTACGGCAGGGAAACTGTGTAAGAGAAATGAGGAGATAAAGGCGTGGACGTTTGCGAGGAACACAAAGAATACGAATGTGTGGGATGAGAGTAGAAAGAAATTATCTTATAATATTAAATGAAGTTTCATAATGAATGAGAATTACAGAGTAGAGAAACGAAATTATATCAGACGTGAAGGAGCTCAGGCAAGAGAAGAAACTGTAGCCGCCATCTGCGTGCTGGAAAATAAATTAAATGGCACACAATATAAAGATACAGGCGAGTAAGTTAAATCTAGGCAAGGAGTTTGCCTTGCTGTAAGGAGGTTCCACGTTACGACCCTCCTAACCTCATCTTCTCTGTCGAATCCTCGGAATATCCGAACACGTGCGTGGTCACTCCCTTACAACGGGTCTGTCTTCCTTCACCGATTCCCTCGGGATTCATTTTCGACGCCTGACACTCGTCGCACGAAGATACGAGGAAGAATAAGCCGATGAAAGAGGGGAACAAACAAAGTTACGTGAATATGAGGAAGAAGGAAGAAGCGAATAGAGTGAGAATGTGGTCCAGGAAGAGAAAATCGATTATGTGAAGGGGAGTGGTAAAGAACGCCTACGAGCTATCAGAATTAGGATAGCGAAAGAGTAGAAAAAAATCCGCCAGAGGCAAACACACGAGAGAGAAAGAAAATGCATCGTTAAAGAGGACCAGTCCTCCAGCTGGCCCACACACGCTTCGGAGTGAATCCAAGCAGAAAATACTTTTTAGCGTCGTTCTTCTAGGCTTTAACGCTATCTTTAATCCTCATCTTCTTAATAAGCCATCTAATTTGTCATGTATTTTCCAAGGGTGTAATTTACACTCTGAAATAAATATCAAATCCCTGAAGAAGGAAGCAGCATGTGCAACCGAAACACTGGTATCTATCTACAGGTCAACATGACGTTGCAAGTGAGAAGACCAAGATCTTCAGGTCTCAGAACGGACACAATTATTTCTAAAGCTTGTTTCTGAACTACACAGGACAGATTTTAGAGAATTGAAATTAAAAATAAATTAAGGTATTTCAAGAAAAGGTCGACACGAAACGATGAGCTCGTCGTGAAATTATCAGGAACATGAAAACTCACTGCCGTGTTTTATAGGCGTCCGTAACCAATCGTGAGTCAGATTAATGAAGTCTGCACTCTCACATATTATTTTGTTAAGATACATTTTTAATATTATCATCTCATCTACGACCAGTTCTCTCAGGTACTTTATTCAGTTCAGTTTTTGTTGTTTTTGAAGCCCTTTAGGCACCTCCCTTATATCTGATGGCAGTGTTACATGCATCTTCGATTTCAGCCTCGTTAATATCGTCTGAAGATTATCCAGTCGGTTCTTTCAAAATTTTCTGTCCAACCCGGGCCTTATTTCTTCCCCCTATTGGCCCAAATGCTGCAGCCGTTCACCCTCAACTTACGTCCCTCCTTCCGTTTGAGACACACGTACCGCAGTTGCAAGAACATACGAGCAGTGGCTTCCGGAGTGCAAATGTTGACTCGTCGCTCGAAGAAGTTCTTTTAGGAGATGCGTCCAGTGAACCGGAGGAAATGGGCAAAGGTGGGATGAGCCCCAGGGGAATTCCTTGTCTGAGTGTTAGAGAATACACGCCTATTGATGGTGAGTAAAGCAATTTTCGTGCCATCAAACAGCAATCACATTTACTCAGATTCAACACGAATACAATTTGGTACTGAACCTTCGTGTGGGTGCTGGTAACGTACAGAAGTTGGCTCATTACCGGCGTTTCAGAGGGCCACACTGCCTCTATTATCAGGGCAGCTGAAACTCAGGGGCAAATATCCGTACCTCGAGAGGGGATCGATCCAGTGTTTATAAGACGAGTCATACAATTCGTGACCACAGGGCTCAGTTAGTAAGGCACAGGAAGAGATCCATCTTGACGTCATACGTAAGTGTTTTGTTTGTTTAACAACGCTTAATAAGCCGAACGACCTCTGTAACACCCGAGTGACGACGGGAAAGTCATGACCGATGATGGGGGCAGAAGTGGAAAGGCGGTCGTGGCTGATTTAAACCATTCCCTGCACCAGAAGATGCGACACAGTGGGCTTGTCTCCGGGTTGAGATTCGAACCATCGTGAACACACAGCAGAAGAGAACTCACAGACAACGTAAGAAGAGGCTGAATGCATAACAAGTGACGGAACAATAGCGCCGGATGATAAATGTGCTGACATCTGCGGGATTTTAACGTTAAGAGAGTTCGCGTTAATAGCAAAACCTTGCTCTAGAAAGTTACAATGTTATACAACCGACATTACGTCTAAAAAGCCCCCCCGAATAAAGTAGTTTTATTATAAGGCTACTCTATATTCACGTTATGAAAGTACTGGGTCGCGTATAAAATCCGTGGTCTTAACTTAAGGGTGAGTTAAAACCTTTCCTACCCCCAATATTTTAAACAATTAATTTCGCAACACCAGACTTCTTTTGTAGTCAATGGCCCGGACGAGTTAGTTGGCTTTCAGTGTCCCCTGCCGCAACTTTGCACTTCAGCCAAGATTTCCCGTACCCAGAAGCTTATTAACTCCAGCGCCACTTGTCATTGGTAGACGCTGGAATTCTTCGGACAGTAGAGCCGTCTGTGCCTTTATTTCTGGTATCGATTTGCTCCTGAACACATCTCTTTCATAACCTAACCTACTGAATATAAATTCATCTTTAATTTCTGTCTGCAAAGAACGTCTAATATTCCAGGAATGCAGAAACTTCCACAATGAAGAGCTTCGTAGTTCATTCTCTTCACGCAAAATTATCAGGATAATCGAGTAGAAGGGGGTGGGATGGGAGTGGAATGTATTCACAACGAGAGAGAAGACAAATGCGTATATTCCAGCTGGAAAAACTGACGGACAGAGATTATAACACGGGCGACTGAAGTTCCGACGGAGGCGACTCTGGTGGCAAGATGTGGAAACGACGATATAGTGGCACCTACGGTGGGGGGTGTGGCGGTCTATTTTGTGTTGGTGCGTTTTTGCACGAATCTGGCTTAAGTCACAATGTGTTTTTAAAACAAGTTGTATACATTTTTTATTTCAACGCTGCGATAAACAGTTTCATCTCCGTCTGCTTTGATGGTTCATGCGCTGTTGGTAATTTGTAACGCGTGTGATACCTTGAACGGAGTTTGAAGGCCGGGGAATTCGTGCGGGTTTTACCTCCACGCCCTCTTGCGTGATGCTGAGGCAGAGGACTAACTTTAACCTTTCCTTCTGACTGGACAGTTGAAGTGTTTGTTGTCTCATCTGTTAAGAGTTTGCAGAAGACAGGGCATTCTGTCGTCTCGACCATTGAAAAACCATCTATCTGTATCGGCAAAGTAGATCCGAGTCAGCATCGGGAAACACTGAAGGAGATGTACGTGGGCGGATGTTAGTCGTGGAGGAAAGACCTAGGCCGATATATTGGCTTCACGTCCTTAGCTGAAAGACACATGCGATCTCCTCGCCAACAAAATACGTCAGCTGCTACGTGGAGAGAGATTTTTCGCGAAACTCATAATGTGATCTACAAGGAAACGGAGAGAGCTCTTTCCTAAGGTGCTTTAAGGCTTTCTGAGACTGCTAATTTCATTCGCTTGTTTCCCCGCAAGTTTCCGACTAGATGTACGAGGTAAGCTTTAGAAGGGCGTGGTGAAACATTTTAGTTCAACCCGATGCGTGCTACAAATTTTAAGTAAACAGACTATGTGTTTACGTCTCGTCACCATTAAGTATCACACGTCATAACTGGCAGACCAAGGACTGGAATGAAGGATAATATTAAAATAGATCGTAAAACATTAGGGTGTATTCGTGACATGATTAAAAAATGGTAACCAGTCCTTGAGAACACACTAATATATTTTCCGCGTATATAAAGATCCATATAAATTGTGGGATATACTTCAACGAGACGGGAACGAAAATCGAATTTGATCGACAGCTTCTAGCCTAAGTTTCAGTACCAAATTTAATTAAAATCCGTTCATTAATGATGGGCAAGGGGACTGGACTTACCGATTATGTGTTAATTTTACGAGCCGTAGGGTTAGAACGGGGCAGCTGCAATCAGAAATACGACAAATGTTCGCATAACGACCCCCATTCCACCGGACCTCAGTTCCCTGGCGGACATAAACATAAACTACATTCTATCTCAGTTTTAGTTATAAATTGCTCAGAAGTGCATTTATTACCAACTACTACGAAAGTGAGCCATCAGAGCGAGTTATCAGATGAAACACATTACTGATGTTGTAACTTAAGTTAAGTAAATTATA